TGTAGGTATTTGGATTTGTATTTAGCTATTATATATTCCCCATGTTCATCCCTTGTGCAAGTATTAGTGATACATTCTAGTTGGTCTGAGTAGTATATAGCAGTGCCACCCCCTTGTTGGTCTGGCCTACAGTTGTGTATGGCTGTGTAACCAGGAATGGCATAGATATCTGTAGTATCAGGCTTTAGCCAGGTTTCGGTGAGAGTAATGATGGACATACTGGTATGCAGGGAATTTAGTAATGCTATGAGGTCATCGTAATGTTTGCTTAAAGATCTGATATTGTAGTTAAAGACAGTTATGTTGTTGTTGGCTCTGAGAAGTGCCTTTGTTCTGCTGTGTAGTAATTACAGTTACTGTTTGATTCATTTAAGTCATTCAGTAAGAGGTTGGTATCAGGATCAATGCTTGTTATCATAAGATTTATAGTGAATCTATAGTTAGAATTAAGTAAAAGACAAAGTAAATATTCTAAAGCTATAAAATAGCACCTGAATTAAAAAATATGAGCTAAGGTAGCTCTTTAAAGCTAAAATAAATGAGGCAATATAAAAGGGACTAAAATAATTTGTGGTGAACAAAAAAGTGGTAATCAAATAAATGAATATAATGGCAAAATAATGAGCTTATTACACTTTAGCACCTGAGAATAGCACCTTGATTATTTTAACAATTGTGAATATATGAACTAAGGTAGTTATATAAAGCTAAAATAAAAGAGTAAATATATAAGGGACTAAATTAAGTAATGGTAAACAAAGTTAAGATGACAGATAGTCACTATGATATAATATTGATTTGGGAGTAAGATCTGATTTGTTATATATAATAAGTTGGGCAATATATTGTACTATAAAAAGTAAAAAAAATAATATGAGGTAGTTGGTACTAGTTAGCAAAAGATAGTTAATGGCCTTGAACAATGATATAATTGAAATATACACTAATTGCACACACAATATAGTCACTAAGATTTGAAAATAATCTAGAGTAGGACTTATAAACTTATAATATAAAAATACAAATTAAAATGGTACTTCCAATTGCACTAGAGTCTGGTATAGGTTGTTAACAAGATCAAGAGTATAACTAGATTTAAATTGACAAAATAAAGTTCACAAATTAAAGTACCAAAAGAATAATAAGTAAAAAGTAACAATGGCAATGACTTGGTTATAATATGATAGTAAGATGGTAGACAGGTACACAGGTACACAGGTACAGAGGTACACAGGTACAGGTACACAGGTACAGAGGTACACAGGTACACAGGTACACAGGTACACAGGTACACAGGTACAAAGGATAATATAAAGGTTGGAGTTGAATATACAAACTTGAAAATTTGGCAACAAAATGTTATGGGAAGTATAAAATAATGTTTAATGTACAAAAGTAAAATTGACTGGTAGTAAATATGGCGTTTAATAAAATTTTAGTAAGTAATAATGATTACAAAAAAGTGAAAAAGTAATGTTTATTTCAAGTATTAAATTTTAAGAACAGTTATTTGGATTCAATATTACACTGGAAGTTATACTAGAGGTTATTTGGCAGTACAAGGTAATTAAGAGTACTCTAAGATAGTAAATGTGGTATTAAAACAGGTTATGGTAATTAGACAAGTAATGGTAATTAAATGATGTCAAAAATGTTAAGAGTAAATTGCACTGATAGTAAAAATGGTAATTAATTATTAATTTTTAGTAAGTAATATCAATTAATAGTATTTAAAAAAATATGAGGTAGTAATATGGACAGAGAAAGTATCAATTCAGCTAATAATAGTAAATAAGAAAATTACATAAGGTGACTTATGCTTACTAGTAAAATCACAAAATGAGGAAGTTGATTATTTAATTACTAAGAGATTGTACAATGAAATTTGAACAATAATGGAGCAAAACATACACTACAATGCGCAGGCTTTTAGGTTGGACATTGTTTAGTTATTCTCTGTAAGATTAGTATCCCTGGAAAATCGTGATAGATCATTCTCATTCGTGATTGTGTACAGTTGACCTACATTTGTTTTTCTAACTAGAATTTTCTCATCCCGTGTGAAGCATTGGTGTATTGTGTCATTATTCTCCTGTTGTTTCTTAGAGGCGGGACAATGTTCGTGGGATCGAATCCTGGTCTGCCTCAGTTTGGTAAATAATTTATAATCACTTGTTTCGTGATTTCATTGTTATGTAATATAAATATATAAAATATATATATATATATATATATATATATATATATATATATATATATATAAATATATATATATATATATATATAATATGTCATACTAAGCCGAATTAAATTAAACTTTTATAAAAAAAAATTTTGCAGATTGATAGCAATTTTTTTTATTAACAATGATATAAAGTTTTTTATTTTTGGATTAACATATAAACTTCCCTTAAAATAAGGTAATTTTTGTTTAGCTAAATTCTGCTGTATATATCACGGGTTAATTTAAATTGATTTATGAGATTAGTCACGAGGGAGCATTCACCAAATTCAACTTCAATAACAAAAACATAAAGTGGGACCAAGTAAACCAAGTCCTAACCGATATAAGCTGGGAAGATATACTAAGCAACACAGACCCAAACTTATGCCTAGAACAGATTAACTCGGTGGCACTCGATGTATGCACAAGGCTTATTCCTCTAAGAAAAAGGAGGAGTAGATGTAAAAGAAAGAGACAGGCGTCCCTTTACAGGCGACGGAAAAGAATAACAGGCGGCTTAAAAGAGGTCAAATATCTGAAATGCGTAGGGAGACACTGGTCAGAGAAATAGCAAGGCATCGAACTTAAGCTAAAGGAATCTTATAGGAGTCAGGAATCGCGGGAAGAACTAAAAGCCATAAATGAAATCGAAAGAAACCCAAAGTATTTCTTCTCTATGCCAAATCAAAATCGAGAACAACGTCCGGTATTGGGCCCCTACTTAAACAAGATGGGTCCTACACAGATGACAGCAAGGAAATGAGTGAGCTACTCAAGTCCCAATATGACTCAGTTTTTAGCAAGCGCGCTAACCAGACTGAGAGAGTCGAAGATCAAAATGAATTTTTTATGAGAGAGCCACAAAATTTGGTTAACACAAGCCTATCCGATGTTATCCTGACGCCAAATGACTTCGAACAGGCGACAAATGACATGCCCATGCACTCTGCCCCAGGGCCAGACTCATGGAACTCCGTGTTCATCAAGAACTGCAAGAAGCCCTTATCATTAGCCTTTTCCATCCTATGGAGAGGGAGCATGGACACGGGGGTCGTCCCACAGTTACTAAAAATAACAGACATAGCCCCACTCCACAAAGGGGCAGTAAAGCAACAGCAAAGAACTACAGACCGATAGCACTAACATCCCATATCATAAAATCTTTGAAAGGGACCTAAGAAGCAAGATCACCACCCATCTAGAAACCCATCAGTTACACAACCCAGGGCAACATGGGTTTAGAACAGGTCGCTCCTGTCTGTCTCAACTATTGGATCACTACGACAAGGTCCTAGATGCACTAGAAGACAAAAAGAATGCAGATGTAATATATACAGACTTTGCAAAAGCCTTCGACAAGTGTGACCATGGCGTAATAGCGCACAAAATGCGTGCTAAAGGAATAACAGGAAAAGTCGGTCGATGGATCTATAATTTCCTCACTAACAGAACACAGAGAGTAGTCGTCAACAGAGTAAAGTCCGAGGCAGCTACGGTGAAAAGCTCTGTTCCACAAGGCACAGTACTCGCTCCCATCTTGTTCCTCATCCTCATATCCGACATAGACAAGGATGTCAGCCACAGCACCGTGTCTTCCTTTGCAGATGACACCCTAATCTGCATGACAATGTCTTCCATTGCAGGCACTGGAAGGCTCCAGGCGGACATCAACCAAATCTTTCAGTGGGCTGCAGAAAACAATATGAAGTTCAACGATGAGAAATTTCAATTACTCAGATATGGTAAACACGAGGAAATTAAATCTTCATCAGAGTACAAAACAAATTCTGGCCACAAAATAGAGCGAAACACCAACGTCAAATACCTGGGAGTGATCATGTCGAAGGATCTCACCTTCAAGGACCATAACATTGTATCAATCGCATCTGCTAGAAAAATGACAGGATGGATAATGAGAACCTTCAAAACTAGGCAGGCCAAGCCCATGATGACACTCTTCAGGTCACTTGTTCTATCTAGGCTGGAATATTGCTGCACACTAACAGCACCTTTCAAGCCAAGTGAAATTGCTGACCTAGAAAATGTACAGAGAACCTTCACGGCGCGCATAACGGAGATAAAACACCTCAATTACTGGGAGCGCTTGAGGTTCCTAAACCTGTATTCCCTGGAATGCAGGCAGGATAGATACATGATTATATACACCTGGAAAATCCTAGAGGGACTAGTACCGAACTTGCACGCGAAAATCACTCACTACGAAAGCAAAAGACTTGGCAGACGATGCAACATCCCCCCAATGAAAAGCAGAGGTGTCAGGGGCCCGAGACTGTTCAACTGCCTCCCAGCATACATTAGGGGGATTACTAACAGACCCCTGGCAGTCTTCAAGCTGGCACTGGACAAGCACCTAAAGTCGGTTCCTGACCAGCTGGGCTGTGGCTCGTACGTTGGCTTGCGTGCAGCCAGCAGCAACAGCCTGGTTGATCAGGCTCTGATCCACCAGGAGGCCTGGTCACAGACCGGGCCGCGGGGGCGTTGACCCCCGGAACTCTCTCCAGGTAAACTCCAGGTAAATATTGAAAATTATATATATATAATGTTTTCGAACTTCTCAGATCGATTTTTTGCTGACTCGGCAAAACAAATTTTCATTTGGCTTATTCGGCAAAGTTCACTCATGACAAATTGGCCAAACTGAACAATTTGGCTTATTAGCCATGACATTTGCTATGCTAAACCTTTAAACGCCATCCAATGTCTTGGGATTAGTTGGTAACCAGTTTTATTCTAGTGAATAAAGAGAGTAACATACCTGCCCATCTGCCGCCGTACTCCCGTGGCAGGTCCCTAGTGACCATCTTGGACCAGAGATGTGTCCTGAGTCCTGTACCTACCTCCCAGGCCACACCTAGAGCCACCTTGCACAGGTAGAAGATCCCTAACCACACCAACACCTCCACCTGCCAAGTAGCTTTCATTATCTCATCTATAAGCCATCTGGCAGATCCCTCACAAACTGCCATTGTGATTACTGAGGATCAAGTTGAGGTTTACAACTTAAGTTTATGACACTACTGGAGTATGACAGTCCTGGGTAACTAAGTCAATATTGTAGGCAAGAATCACTGAGTGTAATAAAGTGGGTGAAGGTAGACTCAGATGATGACAGTGACGAGGAGAGGCGAGAGTTATGGTAAGTGAGGCGAGGATGAGCCAGTAGCCACCACCAGCCACTATCTGTAAACAAAGTGCCAACTTACCCACAATATAAACTATGTTGTAATAGTTGTGTGACTTAATTCATGTCTGCATAAATAATTCATTACGATAGTAACTAAATATAAACATATAGTTTACTACAACTGTAATTGCAACTATAGACCTGTTAGTATTGTCAGCGTAATGTTAACAATTCAAGAGAAAGAGAGTCTTGCCAGTATACCTCAGTGAGGGTACTAGTAGCTTCATCCCAGCTGATCCTGCTGATTGATACTTGATTGTCTTTTATCTCACACCTGCTCTGCAGTATTGTTTATGACAGCTACAAAGTGCCAGCAAAAGCCAGCTATATTTCTCCAACATGTTTCGTCAGATAGTATAGTGAAATCTGTCTGTTTTGTGTATTTTTCAATGAGTAAATCTCTAGTGGTGTGTATACACTGAGAACAACAATGTATATACTTTTGATGTTATTCTGCTGAGAGCTTCAGTGTATATACACATGGAGGGAAGTACATTTCTGTATGTATGCACATGACGCATCACTGTATGTGCGCTTTGGGGATATATATCACAGCATATCCATTTTAATTCCGACATTAGTGATTGTAGTATCCGTGGCTGTGGTTGTACAGGTGACATGCTGCCTTAATGACCCTCTTGCAGTAGACAGGCTCTGAACCAGATGTATCAACCAGCCCATGAAATGTGTCAGCCTGAGTTGGTAGACTTCATTAGAGTGATGAGGTTATTCTTACATATTCCACTATGGATTCAGCAGCTACGACAGCTGAATTTTCGACTCAGACCCCTTATTCACTTGCGAATTCGACCACAGAGATGGAGTTATTATTACTTGGGCTTACTTGCGATCTCTCTGGAGGGTTTATCTCATACACGGGGAAAGACAGACCAAAGACATTATCCTCACAAAGGAAGATGGAAGGGTGTGGCGTTGGGAGAGGGGGATGGTAGAAGGTGTGTGGTAGGGTGGAAAAGTGAGGAAAGGGTGCGTGAGAAGATGAGGTTAGTTGGGAGAGAGGGAGGATGTGAGGGAGAAAAGGAGAGTGTGAAGGAGGGAAGGAAGAAAGATGGTAATGTTCCGTGACGGGTTGTATTACCTAGAAGTAACCCTGAAGTGCTTACCAGGATCATCACCTCTGTGGCCCTCTCTCATACTAGGTCTCCTGCCCTCTCTCATACTAGGTCTCCTGGTTGATGACTTAATCAATCAGATTGTTGTTGCTTGCAACTCACAGGTTGATGTAAACATTACAACTTGGCTGAACAAGAACAGTTTCAACGTAACACATTCACTCCTGAAGGTACTTAGGGGTCTGATAATTCCCCTTATGTCTAACTGGAGGGCATTCCAGGGATCAGCGCCCCCGCGGCTCGGTTCATGACCAGGCCTCCTGGTGGATCAGGGCCTGATCAACCAGGCTGTTACTTCTGGCCGCACGTAGTCCAATGTGCGAACCTCAGCCCGGCTGATCCGGTACTGACTTTAGGTATCCGTCCAGCTCCCTCTTGAAGGCAGCCAGGGATCTATTGGTAATTCCCCCTATGGCTGGTGGGAGAATGTTGAACACTCTTGGGTCTCGGACACTTTTTGTGTTTTCTCTTAGTGTAGCAGTGGCGCCACTACTTTTCACTGGGGGTATTTTACATCGCCTGACCAGTTTTTTTACTTTCGTAGGGAGTGATTTCTGTGTGCAGATTCGGGACCATTCCTTTTAGGATTTTCCAAGTATAGATTATGATATATCTGTCTCGCCTGCATTCCAGCGAGTACAGGTCAAGTAGTAGGTTGTGCTCTGGTCCTGTCTAATAAACTTGAAATGAAAACCTGTTAATTTTTTCATGCTTTTTTGTCTCATGGAAACGTAAAATGACGGGTTAATTATACACAATATTACAGTCAGTATACGTAGGCAATTTTAAAAATAGGTTAAATACATGAATAGGTGTGGGAGGGTGTGAGTTGGACCTGCCTCGCATGGACCAGTAGGCCTGCTGCAGTGCTTCTTCTTTCTTTCTTATGAAAGCGGTGTATTGTTAAATAATTATCTTAATATATCTTCTGATTTTTAACCTGGAGGGTTAGCACGCCGATAATCCAATAAAGTCAGTGCTTCATTGGGTGACTTTAATCACATCCTTCCAGGATGCGACGCATACTAGTCGATTAACACAAGGACAGCAGGTGTAAGGAAACATGCCCAGCGTAGCCATCCATGCCGGGGATTGAACCACGGACACTCAGTGTGTAAGCTGAGTGTGTGGTTCAGTGTTGGTAGTGAGACAGCGACCAGCAACCCAGACATCCACTGCCGTCGTGTCCTTGTTCATTGTATCATTACTATCATTATTATTATTATTATTATTATTATTATTATTATTATTATTATTATTATTATTATTATTATTATTATTATTATTATTATTATTATTAATTTTATTATTATTATTACTGGTATGGCGAGAATTAACAATTTCCACAACAGATAAGCATTTTTGTGTCCTACTGATATGGTTGTTGTTTTGAATTAAACATTTGCGCTCTCCACAGTTACCAGTCAGGTTTCAGGAGATCTTATTCGACCGATACCTCCCTAATTAATCTGATGAACTACCTGAGAACTCAAATGTCGTTCAGGAATCTCTTAGGTATGGTGGCCCCTAGATTTTAAAAGGCATTTGATACAGTTAATCACTATATATTATGTAAAAAGCTACAAGATATTGGCATACTCTGTAGACTGGTTTAAGTCCTACCTGAGCACCAGGAAACATACTGCCAAGATACATAGCAGAATCATAACCACCTGCCAGTTTTGTTTTGTTTATATTTTATTTAAAATACTCATCTAACCCCTCAGTACATAAGTTCCCTACAGTCACACATACTCGCCTTACCACAAGTCTTACGAGTCGGCCACAAAACTAGAAAAGCCATAATCATTCCGCACTCATCTACAGGCTATACACATTATATAATATAGCAATAAAATGCTCTGTACAAACATATACAACCCCGTTTGCAGCCACCTGCCAGTAGTAAGTGGGGCTCCCCAAGGTTGTAATTCTGGTTCTCTTACTATTTTCATGTTATGTGAATGACGTGCATTATCACTGGAAATAGTCTTGCAGCAAATGGTTAGTAGACAACTAACTATCGCTACACCTCGGAAAACTGAAACCATACTATTTGGCACAAAAAAATAAGCTGAAAAGGGTCAATACTTTTAATGTCCAGTGTAATGGGGAACCCATCACTTCAGCAGCTTCAGTGACATATCTTGGAAATCTCTTGGACCCAATCATGTCAGGAGAATTTTTAGGGAACAATGTAGTAAAAGAAAATACAAATGGCAAGCTAAAGTTCCACTACAGAAACACACAGTGTCACTTACTGAGGCTCGCATAAGATAAGATTTCGTTCGGATTTTTAACCCCGGAGGGTTAGCCACCCAGGATAACCCAAGAAAGTCAGTGCGTCATCGAGGACTGTCTAACTTATTTCCATTGGGGTCCTTAATCTTGTCCCCCAGGATGCGACCCACACCAGTCGACTAACACCCAGGTACCTATTTGCTGCTAGGTGAACAGGACAACAGGTGTAAGGAAACGTGTCGAAATGTTTCCACCCGCCGGGAATCGAACCCGGGCCCTCCGTGTGTGAAGCGGGAGCTTTAGCCACCAGGCCACCGGGCCACTCGACTATGATTATGTCTACCTCTAATACAGTGTTAAGTAGATTATTCTTGTTCTTCATGGCACTTTGATTTAACACAAAAATAGACTGTCCACAACTCACCCAGAACAAAATGCTAAAATTTATCCTGGACCTGGGTCAAAGGAAGCATGTAGACCAGGATAACAACAACTGGATACGCTGAATGTTGAAGACAAGAGTAAAACAACTGAAGTTAAAACGTGTTTATAAAATTGTTCACAGTGTCCAGAATATCTTACTACAAAGTTTGTCAAAGTTAGGAACCAAAACCAATGTGGTTCTACGGGAAGTGAACACAGTTCCGTAGTACCCACAGTAAGTGGTCAGGCCTCAAACATATTTTATTATACCGAAACCTCAGGAAGAGAGCTATAAGGTAATTAATAAATGACACTAAGGAAAGAGAAGAGTGATTTTGTTGTATAGTTAACATTCATGTACTTAATATAGTAAGTTGATCCTCTCTACTGAATGTTCATGTAAATAACTTAGTTCACCTTATTCTTATTGCACCACTTATTACTGTAACTTATTTTTAATTTTTAAGGTTATATTCATGACTGATTTCTACTGTGCCTTACAACTAGGGTTAACCCTTTATCGGGCAAGGGGCCCTAAAATTAGAAATTCGAACTAAACTCCCTATGGTGGATAGAGTAACTCAATATAAGGTCAGTGAGCCTATATAAATGGAATTCTGATGGTTAGTTTTCAAGCAACTGCAAATCTCCGAAGCACGAAAATTTACGCCCTTGCCCGACATAGGGAGTAAAAATCTGAATGTTGCAAACTGTGCAATTGTTAATAAAACACCCAATAACTATTTTTTAAATTTATTATACAAACAGACAATATCAAAAACATAAATGGAACTTGTATCAAAACAGTTTGTATGTATTAGAAAAATATAAAAATGAAAAAAATAGCAACAAGGACACATTGCAAAGGGAAAAACTTTCAAATCCCATATTCCTGAGATTCATGAGGAAGCCCAAATTTTATTCTTGTTGCTAATTCATAGTATGGTAGTCCCTGAAACAATTTTATTACTCTTTATGCACAGATTTACTTTGCATACAGAACACTGAAATGAGGATGTGACATATTTTTTTCGATTTTGCTGCAATACTTGCAACTAAACGGCTTTTTCCCTGGCAGTGGCAAGTGGCTTAGATTTTCTGTCAAGCCTAACACTGTCATAAAGGCCTTTGTGCACGTTGGCCTGCACGGTTTCACTATGCTGACATCATTGGAAGTACATGGTGAATTACTTGGTG